TATATATATATATATATATATATAATTTGTGTAAAATTTTAAAAACTTGTCTAACATCTTTTAAATTAACACGAGGATTGAAGTTTTCTTACAAAATATACAGTTGAAGTGGGACTTTCTCTATTGTTAAATTTTTTGCTTTCGCAGGACCAAGATGGGCCAGTTATAATCTCGGTATATTTCTGTGCATCCGATGTGCCGGTATTCACAGGAAGCTTGGAGTTCACATAAGCAAAGTCAGGTCTGTCAATTTAGATACTTGGACTCCAGAGCAAGTCGTGGTAATTATAGCTTTCGTAGTACTATTAAACATTCGGATCGTTCGAAATACTCATGTAAAATTTATCCGTTATTACTAGTTGTTTTATTTTTTCATATCTCGTGTGATGTTAAATTTATTCATTTACATGGTGGACTAGTTTTCTTTAAATACATTTATATGCCCAGCTTGTATCTCCCACGTATTATCTACACTCGATATTTACGAACTAAATTACAAACTGTTTTTGATAATCATTAAAGGCTAACGTAAAAAATGTCTAATATACAAAACAATTAAAAAGAAAATAAATAAATAAATAAAAACCAATCCAAATTTATTCATTTATTTATAATTAAGTTTCAATTTAGTTTCAACTACTTATTATCAGTACAGTAATTATCATGGATATTTAAAAATACTAAATTTTTATTTTTAGTCATTAAGAATTTTTTGTTTGTTTGTTTGTTTATTTCGTTTCGTTGTATTAATTGTTAATCGATCGATTAAAAATATTCCCGAATATTCAGCCTACAAACATTGAAATATATTTCGAATACTAATATTACGTTGATAAATTGTATAAAAAAGTTCTCCAATACAAATTCCTTAATGATCTATATGATTATACAGAGTTTACAACAAATGGGAAATTCTCGTGCTAGAGCTGTCTATGAAGCTAATCTCCCAGATAGTTTTCGAAGACCTCAAACTGATTGCAGTTTAGAAAGCTTCATTAGAGCAAAATATGAACATAAAAAATATATCGCAAGAGAATGGGTTCCACCGCCATTACCAACGGTAATAACACATTATTGTGATTAGTTAATATCGTTAAACCCGTTGTTCTTTTTTTTTTATTTCTTTTAAATTGAATAAGCAATTATATTGAACAGGTGAACTGGGATAAGGAATTAGACGAAGAAGCTGAAAAGCAGCGTAGGCGAAAAAAGGAAACTCAAAAGTCTGCCACAAGTCAGAGCGCACTACCGCCTGTTAAAAAGCCAGAAGTAGTACCCCAAATACCAAAACCACGTAGCTCCGTGAGTCCGAAGCCTAATAGATCAAGCAATACAGCCACGTTGGATTTACTTGGCCTTGGTAGGTTAAAATTTACTTAATTCTGTATAACATTTAGAAAATGTATTTTAAGTTATGTATTTTTTTTTTTTTTTTTTTTTTTTTTTTTTTTTTTGTTTTTTTGCCACATTTTTAAATTAATTATAGCTATGTATGTTTTACTAAAATCATACGATAAATTTCTAATAGATGCTCCAGAAAGTCAAACAACCACAAACGGTTTAGCATCAGGAGATGATATATTTTCTTCGTTTTTATCGGCGCCACCAGCATCTGCTGCTAGTGTAGCGAATGGAACTTTAGCCGAAAGTAACACCACGAGTAATTTAGCAAGTAAGTCGGAAGAAGAAAGTTTCTTTAATCAGCCAACACCAATGCCACAAGAGAAAAATAAAATGACAAAAGATAGTATTTTAGCATTGTACGGTACTCAACCAACGCAACCATTTGGAGGTAATTAAACAATATTTAATTTACAATATATTGAGATACAATTTCTTTCGTTGGTTATATAAAATGTGTGTGTGTGTGTGTGTGTGTGTGTGTGTGTGTGGTTAATGACTAATTCATATTATTGTTAAAATAAAATTGTAAAATTTCAATATCAAAAAGTCATTTGTACTAAGAGATTTTTAATTATAATAAATACTTGGTTTATAAATCGGTATAATGCGATTTGAATTTAATTTTTAGGAAATATGTTTAGTCAACAAATACCTGCTCAACCGTTTCAGCAACCAATGCCAAACGTAGGGCCGTTCAATCAATCTCTAAATCATTCCCTTCAATCACAAATTGGTATACCAGGCATTAATCAAATGAATATCGCAACCAATCAAATGTGTATGAATTCTAATCAATTAGGTACTGTCGCAGGAAATCCTTTAGCTAATAATGCCGCCATGGCTATGCAAGTTCAAATGGTAAGAATCAATTAAATAAAATATAAATATTAAAAATGTGTCTAATTCAGTATATAATAGTTCCTGTTGTTATTTATTGCAGCAGCAAAATGTGACAAACTCCGGCACACAGATGGTTTTAGGTACCAATAATGGCTGGAGTAGCATGATGTCTACACAAAATTTACAGCCAGCACCAGGAAGTAATCCTTTTTTAAATTTGAATGCTCAACAACAACCGATTCAATCATTTAATCATGTAATTATGTTAACTTTAACTACTTTTCTTCCAAATATTGAAAATCACAAATTAATCATCAAATAAAGCGTATGTAAATTTAAATTAACAGAATAATAACTTCAATGTATATATTGTGCTTTTATGTTTCTAAAGTTAATTGATATCTTAAATATTTAATAAAGTAAATGAAATAATAAATTTCTATATATTTTATAAAAATTTATTCTGAGAAGCGTTTGAAATCGGCGAATATTTAAATAAAAGTAGAACGATAATTATACTCGGGGATACAAACTTTTATTAAATGTTAATAAGAAATTTAATTTATTTATAGCTACCACAACAAATGTCTCAGATGTCCCTTGGTGGGATGAGTTTTCCTACTCCAACGGGAAAACCAGCTCCTGCATCATTATCGAGTCAAACACTTTCAACGAATTTATGGCAGTAACAGTCTTTGAAGTTAGTTTATTCGTTTGGTGTTTTTATGCTAATATTGGTTGAATCGCGCGTTTGTTGATCGATAATGTTTAGAAAGGGCAATTTGGAACACATAGAAGAAATAGAAAAAATTCGACGCGTCGCGAATTATGAATATAATGGTATATTATGGACACATATAAGTGCTTATATCACACTAAAGTACACCAATGAATTTTCAATAAAAACCGAAAATTTCAATATCACTATTGAGTCCAGAAGAAAAGCGATATTTACGTCAGTGACATTGTGTCCGACTAACTTGGTTATCTGTTCGCTGCAATTTCTGTTGTAGCAACCAAATGAATATTCAGTCTCTGATATTTAGAGAGGCAAAATATGTATAGTATATACTACAAGATTTGACGGTATGTTTGACATGTGCAGAATGTAAATTTATTATCACATCATTGATTATTAATTTTTTCATCGAAAAATTGAAAGTTACAACGTGTGTTTTGTATGCAGATGTATGTGTGACTTTGTGCTCATACATGTTTATCTGTGAACCTATGAATTCAACATTTTATGAAGATCACCAAAAAAAAACCAAACGAAACATCGAACGACAATTTTAAAGACAAATAATTTACACTTAGTTTTCTCCTTTTTCATTGATAACAGTGAAGCGTAATTAATCGTGTATATATATATATATATATATATATATATATATATATATATATATATATATATATATATATTTCTAAAATTTTTTTTGTATACTAAAATTTAATTTGTATGTATTGACATAAATCCGGACTGCATCAGGTAAAGGAAAAATAATGGATTACCATGGAAATCCGTCTTTTATCATTATGTCATTAAATAAACATTAGGTAACAAAATTGTAAAGTAATTTTTAAACTGAATAACATAATTGTATCCTATTATATGTCCTATATATATAATAGGATAATGTGAGCTTTGGTAGTCATCTACTGAGTTTATTCGAGTATTTCTAGCTTGTAATAAAATTTTTCAAGATTTAGTCAATCATTCATGGTGCTACATTATAAAGCTAAGAATAGATGAAAATTATACTTGCACTTAAGGGGGGATGAGATTGACATTGAAACAAACGTATAAACATTAAAATATCCAATTATTCTGCTACACGCCTTCAGTTTCATTGCAATAAAATAATCTAATCACATTTTATGAAAATGAAGATTAGATATAAAATAATTTGAATTATGTACAAGATTTTTGTTAATTTATTATTTAAATAAGTCAAATTTTTACTTTTAAAAGTGGCATTAAACATGAATTTATAATATTCAAAATAAATTGCAATAAATAACGTTATTCAGATTTTGTATTGTTATATTTGTGTATTGAATAGGTGTCAAAGATTTTAAAAATTTCCTCGCATTCTCCCTTGAAGTGATTAGTAATAAAAATTATAAGAATGTGCACAGTATACATAATTAAATATTTATAATAATCTTGTGAAATATTTTACAAGAACTAATAATGAAAATGAATGATTAAGTTGCTCTTATTATTTTTCAAAGTGAACCGTCCGTATTAATATTAAATATCTTGCTAAATATTTCAATTGCTCCGTATCATTAGTAATTTAATAAATATTTAGGCATTGTGTAAATTTTATAAAATAATTTTTCATTCTTGTTATATCATTATTTCAGTTTTATCATTTACATTCATTGTGACAAATTATTGATTGTATCGAAAGTTGTAGAACAAGAAAAAATTATCTATAAAACGATGAAAATTACTTGAGTGACAATAATTTTTTGATATCGAAAACCATCCTTTATATTCTCGCTCTTTTCGTAAACGTTTGCTCAACATTACTGCTGTAAAAATATTTTGAATATTTAGAAAAATGGAGGATTAAAATAACGCTTTGCAACTTGATGAAACAAAAGATAAATTGTTGTTATATTTCTGTTACCTGACAAAAATTTGGTGGATTTTATAATTATAAATAAATTATTACTTTACTTCAATTCATGAAAATATATATATATATATGTATGTGTGTGTGTGTGTGTATATATATATATATATATATATATATATATATATATATATATGTATATATATAAATGTACATTTATTGTGTGTTGAAGAAGAATATTCGATATCTAAGACAATACATTTATATTAATTAAATCTCTCATAAGTTATAAATAAATAGTAAATGATGACAGACATTAGGCTATAATTACGTTATAAAAACTTATAAGATTATTGGTTTGAGTTCCTTTATGCTAAAAATTATCTTTATTTATTTTTGAAGTAGTTTAAATTACGATATACATTGCACTTAGATAATTATAATATAGTAATTATTAATGTTTATATATATTAACATGTATGTAATATGATTTATATATGCACATATATATATATATATATATATATATTATTTACATATTTATATTATTTAAGAATTTTTTATTTAAAAGTAACATAATTTAGTGCATAATTAGGAAACTAAGTATTTTAAATTAATAATTTAAGTAATCAAATAAAAATTGATAAAAATGTTCTAATGTTTTAAATAATGTACTTAGCTTCCAATTATTCAAACGTGAAGTCGAGTCTTAATCTTTCGTTCTAACGATTATCGATGATGAAAATATATTATTCAAATACTTTTATTACAAAAAAGAGAAATTTTTTATAATCTAAATTGCACGATGTTGGGATGATTATTGTAAGATATTGCGCCTAAAATGTCATAAATTTCCAAGCTGTATAAGTAAGATTTTGGAAAATGTTTATTAAAGCGTTTTTAAAATGTACGTATAAGCAAATTATACATTAAAATTTTTAATTTTAATCTCTAATTTGTGGAAATTGCAGAAGAAAATGGTAAATGATAAATTGCAAAATACTAGCCAACGCAGGAATACATAATTTCATAGATTAATGGAATAATCATTGTGGAGTGTATAATTGGGTAATTACACTTCTAGAAATTACATATCAACATAAATGTCAAATTGCAACAGTCAATTGAGTAACGTCGTGCCAGCTCGACGCCATCATTGTTCTTCTCGTTTCTCTCCTTTGATCAGTGAGGTTGGATATTCTTAAAATGATATTTGTATGGCCGCAACTCGTTCATTTCCGGGTAAAATCTTTTCGTACTCGTAGCCACGTGAAAACACAATGGAGAAACCCGTCGTCCTAGCGCGCGTTATTAAAGTCCTGGGGCGTACGGGCTCTCAGGGCCAGTGTACCCAGGTGAAGGTCGAATTTCTTGGTGAGGAGAATCGACAAATAATAAGGAATGTTAAGGGTCCGGTGCGAGAAGGTGACCTCTTAACCTTACTTGAGTCTGAGCGTGAAGCTAGGAGACTTCGATGAGACACGCTGGTGATTTTGACTACAAATTCGTATAAGTAAGTAGCAATTATTATATTTGGCTGGAGTATTCATTACTACCTCGTTCATTTTATGTTTCATTTAATACTTTTTACGGAATCCTTTTATTTGTATGATTTTTGGGGTTATGTTGACTTTAATAACATTAGCGTATTAATTTCTCTTTCAGGTTAACCAACACGTTTTTTTTATGGAATTTCGTTATCAGCTATTGTATATCTGAAGATTTTGCAGCATATTATAAGATATTAATGTAGAATGCATCATTTTACAGAATGTTGGTGTATACTGTATGACACTGTAGTCTAAGATCTTAAGAGAATAAGCGCTATTGTGTTTGGAATAAACATTTGCTGGTAACCCATAAAAGGGATTTTTTTGTTGATTCGCCTATTTGGATCCTTTTATAACAAATTTCTTTATTTACTTTGTGCGATAAAATGCAGAAGAAAGACTTGTAAAAGGAAGATTTTCTTTTGTTGATACAATTATAAGGATTGTTTTACCATTTTATAGCACATGTGGTTATTTACAATATTTATTTATGTAAGATTGCTTACAAAATAAATCTTTCAAATCAAGTTCAAGAGCTTGTTTAAATTTGCATTATTTTAATGACTAGTTTTCTTTTCGCTTATGTAGTGAGTAAATAATATTAACCAATTTGATTAGAAAAATTATGATAATTTATTTACAATATAACTTACATTTTTGTATGATGAAGGTATGTAATGACAATATTCACAGTAATAATAACAGTGCATTAGCTTTTTATATAAGAAACAATTGAAGAACTGTAGGAACCGAAATTAAATAATGCATTATATAAATTTCTTGATTATTGAAAGAATAGGGTTATATTCTTCTACGTTTTGGGGGAGGAGTATCTCTAGGACTTGGTGAAGCCTTTGATGTGCTATCGATGCTTTGTCTTGTTGGTCTCTTTAGTGCCCTCTTCAAGCTTTCACGATTTGGTTCAGAATCCTTGCGTTCTTTTTTCACCGGCGGACCTATATTAAAAGAATAAATAATACAGGATTTTTATCGTATAGCATTATAAAAATTTGCTTATTTATATATTTATTTACGTAGATATTTAAAAATTTATCGATATCATTAGATAAACTTTGCATTTTTAAAAAAATTGTTTGGTTTCAAATTATTATAGTTAAAATTTTTTTATATTAATTAGAAGGTCCAAATTTTTTCAAAATTAGAATAAAAAATTATATTTTAGATTGTCTTACTTTTTACGTGAAACAACTAAAATATTGGTGTTGGAGTTTTAAGATATAAGCTTGGTAAATTCCAGTGATTGGATTGTTTGGTAATGGTTTACTTTTGTAATTTAATTTTTTAATATGTGTATTCAAATAATTTCAAGGATATTTTACTCGTAGTTGAAGCACTACACAGATTAATTAAATCAACAAGATTTCATAAACAAGGGAAAAATCCAAATTTTGAAAAGTTTGAAAATAACGTGCAAATATTTATTCTACTATTGCATTATTCTAAAATATTTTATGTTTATTTCTAGTGTATGTATTCACTTAAAGACAAAAATTTTAAATAAGATAATGCAAACAGAAATTTTTTTTTCTTTTAATATAATTCCATCGTTTGTAAAGAAATGTGCGTCTTTGAAGTTTTGGAAATGTGAACTTATCCACGCTTTTACCCAACAATATACAATAATGTAAGTTTTAATCATTAAAGATGAAAGAGATATTTTGGATAAATCGATTAGACATTTACCAGTATCCTCTGGTTCCTCCTTTCCTTTAAGGCGTCCTTTTGTAGCTTTCTGTTCTTTCTTAATTTCTTTTGTTTCTCTTTGTTTATTTTCTTTCTTCAATTCAGGTTCTTTTACCACTTTTTTGATCTCTTCTTTTTTCCTTTCTACCTCTTTCACAGTCTTCGTATCACGAAGAGTAATTTCTTTTTTCACTACTTCTTTAACCTCTTTTTCTTTCTTAATTTCTTTAACCTTCTCTTTTATTTCTTTTGGTTTTTGATCAGTATCTTCTTTTTTACGAGATTTCATTAGTTCTGAAAATTCGCTTTCAGGTAAAAGAAAATCTGTTTCATTACTTGGAAAAGGCACATCTTCCATATCATCCTGTGAATGTGGTTAATAGATTAAATAAAATTGAAAGAAAATCTTTTTAGAACATAACTTAAAATTACCACTTTATTTTGCAAAAGAGAAAGTTCATCTAATTAATGAAGTTATATGAATTCCTAAAATTTCTACAAAAACTTTGTTGTACAAATGTTAATGCTATGCATTCTTCGAACAAGGATGATTGAAACGAAACGTACCAAAGTCATCAAATCATACATTGACTTTAGATGATCCCAAATAGCTTTCAAGGACACATCTTTATGAATTGCAGCACGAAATTTCTCCCAAATGCAAACCATGTGAAAGTATTTATTTACACCTAAAAGGAGAAATATAAATGTATGAATTGAGCCTATTGAAGGTTATAAATTTTCAACATTGGATAATACAATATCATAATGTGAAATAGTAATCAACATTATTGTTATATAAATAAAATTCTTGTGCAGAGCCTAACCTCAATTATGAAAAACTTGGTCAAAAGAAAACAAGATATTTTCTTACCAACTGGCTTGTGGCCATTCATCGCAAAGAACAACTGGATTTCATTTTCTACATTCCATTCGATTTCTTCCGCAGAATCCGCTTGTTTCTCTTTAACAGCCATGTTTTTATTAAAGCAACAAACGCAGAAACATTAAGAATCTTTTTCCCAAGACTTGCTAAACGTAATAACAATAACGATAAGAACGCAATTGAAAATAGTTGAGTGTCACTGGTGTTCGTCATAGATTCTCATTCTCATTCTGTCCTAAAAATATCAGGTCGATAAAATAGATATTGTTCTTCTTTACCATTTTTTGCCTCAAGATATTTTCCTTATCAATCTCCGGATACAAAATATCATCTTTATCGGATATTGGTAAGATATAAAATGTATGTATAAATTTTTAATTTTTTTCTTATAAATTACATAATTAAACAATAGCTACTAATCTTTTTTTTTTTCGATATTCCTGGTTATATTTTATATAATTATCATCTTTAACAATACATTCAGCTGCATACACGTACGCACACATAAACTTTAAACTCAATTTTGTAAATTCAGGCGAGTTTATAATGAAAAATTAATTCTTATGAACTATTATGATAAATCTATTATTACTAATCAATTGCAGCAATGACATAATCTATAGGATACATTAGATTACAGGAAGCAGCTAATTTAAATATATATATATATATATATATATATATATATATATAATAGAAGTCGTTGACAATATTGAAACTTTCTTATACCTTTTGCTAATCTATTTTATGTGTTTGTCTTATAAAATTAATTTTATATTTTATTTGATTAATAGGACAATGTTAACAATATCCACTACTATTACCGCTATTCCTTCTACCACCACTGCTACTACTACTACTATATACTACTGCAACTACTATTACTATACCTACTGCTGCCACAAATTCTACTACAACGAATAATAATAATATGGTGTAGCAAACGGTGCATTATTATAAAAGGTATAATAATAAAATGCTACCTACGCTTATAATTGCATTGTATTGTTGAAGTTTTAGAACATGCATATTTTCATTTACAATCATTGTAGGAGCTCGTAAGTATTCTTAATTGTATAACTCATTAATATAATTTGCGAACGAATTATTAATAACAATGATCAACAATCTAGTTATGAGGATGTGCAGTCGTAGTATTAATTTTTACGGATTGTCACTCTGGGTGTGAAAAATAGAGGCATTAAATATTACAAATTATATACTACAAGTTTACTACAGTATTTACTTTCTAGAAAATGGCTGGCGCAGTAGTCAGGCATATAATCTGAAATAGCTTCTGTTTGGATTCCGTACAAGTCTGCGATGTAGCTAAGAGTGGCAATTCTCAGGAGCTACGTCTACACCGCAAAATGTCAAGCATAATGGCGGAAATAATTAAATTCAACAAAGACACCGCTATGGAGATAGAAATAGGTATTGAGGGGGCAAGGAGTGATAGTATACACAACTATAGAGATGGATAGGATTGATAGATAGATAGTTTACGAGGTGGAGTGAGTTAGAAGAGTGGGTGAGTGAGAGGGTGAGAGGAAAGTGTAGAAAATAGCACGTAGATTAAAAAGTCGACAAAGTGTTTGCCGTTATGCGATACTCGTCTTCTTCGTCTTCCTTCCAACGTTTTTACGCCTGCGACCACAATCGATGGCTTTTTATTTTGGTTATTAAACCTTGAGCTTATCCCACGAAAGCTAAACTCAGCATCCATTATTGTAATTTATGCATACTTTTACACAGAGTTGTCAATTTTTACAGCCTTGGCGTTTTTTTACACGCGCGAGTAAAATGCAAGGCGTAATTGGATACGTTCTCACTTTTGAAAAGTCGAAGGTTTTCTGAACAAAGTTTTGACACGCCCGTCAGGAGGCTCTGGTTGGTCGACGTAGTATTAAAGCAAAGTGCAACAAAGTGCAGCTAAGCTAAGAGCGAGTCACGGTCGTCGTCGAATTTCCTCGGATGCAAATGCAAAATTGAATTTAGACGGGTGTTAGTTTATGGACATTACCACGCTCTCTCAATCCCATAAAAACGCGTAAAACACATTGGAATTTACGGTGTTTATTCGAAAGTTTTTTTTCTCCCCATCCCCGAGCCTCCTCCGCCACTCCCTTTGGCAAAACTCGTTGAAATAATCGACATGCAGAAGTCGCGTATAGCGCTGCTCGAAATATAAAAATAAGGCTAATGTCCGCTTATCATCCGATCGGCGCGTTAAATTTTATTGGGCTGAATTTCACTTTGCTTTTACTTGGTCAGGGTAAAACAAAGATTTTAATCCGAGTCGAAGATTAAATTACGACTCCCTTCAGATTTTTACTTCGTTTAAAACGAAGAGCGTTTGGATCGCGAGCGCCGAGTGCAGAAGAGTAATGGGCCCAAATCCTCGTCGCCCGCTCGTTATTTCGTAAGCGCTCATCACCATTTTATCAGCTGCGCGATTATTTAGTAAAATTTTGCTTTTTTGGTCACCCGCCCCTCTGCATCCGCATCATGACGTTCGAGGATCCAGGATCCTGCTGATTTCGGCTCGCAGCATGATCCTCGGACTCTTACTTCCGACGCGAATCGAGACTAATCTCCCAGCGACTGTAATTACTCTCGGCCTGGCTCGCAATCAGCCGCAATTTATGTGGCACAAGAGTTTCGCTTACTCTCTTTATCTTTATCTCTCTCTCTCTCTCTCTCTCTCTCTCTCTCTCTCTCTCTCTCTCTCCCCCCTCCCCTCCTCCCTCCCTCACGACGTTATTTTCTCTTTCTTGGAACGGGTGAAAATTGCAAGCGACTGCAATTAGTCTCTGTTTTCGAACCAATCTATACTTCATCCATACTCTTTCGTCGACTGCTTGGACTCCGGCACCGAATCCTAAAGCCACTTCCGCTCGCACCTTATTCACTAAGTCACATTGCTTTCTTCGATAAAACCGAACGTACATTTATTTGTCGCAAACTCGTTTCTTCAACCGCCAATTACACCTCATTTCGATAATAGACCAATGCTCTATACTTTCTTACACTACCACCTATCTAGTCCCACTCGATCCTCTTTATAGTCCAGGATATCTTAATGCCCGAATACTCGATGCTCTCCTCGAGCCCTCCTTCATCGTCCTCCCGCTAAATCACAGGAGTATAATGCCTGCCTGCCCACCCCACCCCACCCCCCACCCCCGTCATAACATTTATCTACCCCGGTTGGGATAACCGTTCCATCTAACGACGCGCTTATCAAACGTCCTTCGGGGTTGGCTCGGTCAATTTTAAATTCCCTTCCTGTCTTAGTGTCAGTGGCGCTCTAGGGTGTATGGTGGGGGACAGGAAGTTCTCGTTGGCAGGGCGGGGGAGAAAAGTCGTCGAAGGAGCCGCCGAAGCTCGAGTACTACGGACCTTTCAAAATTAGCCGACTTGGTCACGAGGCGCGTCGAAAGTCGAGCGCTCGCAAAATCTGGGGCGCCGACGCTACCGCCGCTGCCGCCTCCTCCCACGCCCCCTTCCATATTTTCTCACGACTAGAAACGAATGCCGCTGCCTCCCGAAATCCGGGAGCGCGCAATTCGTCCGCCGCTACGCTTATCACGTGCCTCAAGTGGGCGCTTATCTCGATCCTCCCCATAATTCGCTACCTCGCTTTCACTAATTAATATTATACGTGTGTGCGCGTTCGTGCATTGGCAATAATATTGAGAATTTGCTCCTTGGCGCAATCGGCGGGCGCTTCTTCCTCTCCGATAACGCGCACCTTATGAGAAAATAATGAAATAAGCCTTTCCTTAGATCGAGCAAACTTATTTGCCGGATTTTGTGTCTCGAGACCATATACGATCACGGAGAGTTG